CTCTGCTGGCGCTCCCGTAAGCGACGGGCACGAAGCCCGCCACGCTGCAGCCTGGCACGGGCGCCGCCAGCAGGCGCGGGGAGCCCTGGCCGAGCGCACGGCTGGACTATGCCCGCCAGCCCGCTTTTCCTCGTCCCTGCTGGCGGTCACAGGGCACGGTTCGCGCAGGGCTGCGTTGCCCAGCGGTGAAGCAGCGAGCGGGGCTCCCGCAACGCCTTATGCTTAGGGCTGCTGTTGCCGCGCACGCAAAAACGCAGTTCGTAGGAAACGCTGCAGCCCCCTTGACGGGGGGCGTCAACCGCTGTGCGGGTCAAGGGTGTCCGCAGGCGGTGGTCGGAAACCACCAGGGGGCAGCCCCCACGATGCCGTCCGAGCGCCAGCTGTTTTGATTTTTTATGCACGTGAAACACAGGCGGCGCTTGGATGGCACAGGGCTGGCCACCATCTTGACTTTTTTGACCACCCCCGCAGACAGACCCTCTAGATCAGAGGGCTCAAGGCCTCTGCCCTAGTTGCTGCTTAGCTTAAGCGCCGAGTGTGATCTGTGAAGCCCTATTTGGCTTGGCACCGTAAACACTTGAATTGAACGAGATTCTCCCACCAGAATCGGCCATCTGGTACCTTTAGGAAGCAATGAGGATGGAGTGATTGGAAGAGGAATGTCATCCTCAGGGACCGTGTAACTGTGAGACTGCCGACACCGCTGTGTAATTCTATCATGGGACGGTCTACCGCTACGGATTACTTCTTAATCTAATTGATGCCATTAGAGTCTTATCGTGGATGTTCTGTCATTCTGATTATTGTCATTTGTATTGTTTACGTGGTTGTTTTATTGTTGACGCTTGCGCTGTGGATGTTTTATCGGTTTGTACGGCTGGTTGCGCCGTGGATGCGTTCATTGCCATTTCTGTAAGCTGCCGCGCGTCTGAATAAATGTTACGGCCTACAGATATGCTACATTCAGAAATAAACTTAGGGATCCCAAAATACAGGGAGTGGGTTTTCTCAGCACAGGACGTTAAAGCAAAACCCAACGAACGACATTAGCCCTGGGTTCAAACGGCATGCTAAACCTGAATTTTTAAAAATGCGGTTGTTCTGTTCATCTGCGCTAGAGGCTATCAGAGGAACCGTATTGTGGCTTCCTGGCCTGGTTCACATCATGACCAAAGATATAGTTGAGTTGCTGCGATGCGCTATACTCAAAATGGACCAATCCCATGTTTGGCCTTTCTGTCTCTGAAATAACAGATTCTTGATTTCGTTAGGATCAATCGCATTGCCAAGCTCTGATTGAATTCTAGCCTTGTTTCACAGGATGGTTCCCGGCTGGAGATCTTGCACCTCTAAGGATGAGATCTCAAGAACTGTACAATGACGCCTTATTCCAACACGCTTGTCCTTTAAACAATGAGTTTTACCTTGCCTTTCAGCACAGAACCTTCTTTTCCTGAAAATCTGGTTGTGTGAACATAGCCATCAAGGGTTGCAAGCACCGAAGGCTGTGAACTGTCCCCGTGTATGTTCTAAGATTTGTATTCAGGGAGTTCTTAAATCCTTACGTTTTGTCAGGTTACCGGAAAACAAACATTGATTTATTTAGATCAGACAATTTGCCACCGCGCTTTTCTTTCAGAAACTCAAACTTGTTTACAGTGAATAAATAATGCATATAAAATATTTCTGCTGTAGATAAAAGCTCTAAAAAGCTGCTTGGATTCTGGTGAAGCTCTGTGCATTTTTTCCCATTATTTCCGAGGGAGATGCCACTGTTACTGGCTCTATTTCTGCTTGTTGATTGCTTGTGGCTTCACATCACATTCAATCTTGGTTTGTTTAACCACAGTGTGTGAAATTATCTTTGACTGGGTTCACACAACATGGCAAGCCAAAAATGAATAAAACTACATTAAGGTTTGGCGTGAGGCATGAGCCCTTGAATTCTGTCCACACAACACACTTTACCAGTAACAAACGTAGCAGTTGCATTTGGACAATATTCTAGGCTTGGTCAGTGTTGGGTTTTGATCTGTTTTTGTAGCTCAGTGTGTTGTGTGAACTCAGGCATGTTTGGCTCAGTCAAACCTAGAAAATGGGTTAATGCATTAATCAGGTCAAGACTCTTATGTGGAACTTCCTTTAGAGACAGTTCATTAACTGTAATGAAGTCAGAAAGTGGCAGAAAACTCCAGTACGGGACTAGAGAGGTAGTTAAATTTGTTAAAATATCTAATATCTGGCCATGTTAGTAACATAAAACGTTGTGATCCAAAGTTTCTCTCCCTATTTATTTTATTTTTTTTAACAGTCAGAAATATCGTAACTATTTCATTCCACCACTTACTAATCCATGAAGGCTCTGTATATATCTCCCACTAATTTTTATCCCATTTTAAATGCCAATCGCTGTATTCTTCTCTTCTTTTATGTAAATGTTCTTGTTCAAAGATTTAAGTGCAAATACCCCCAAATGTAAGCATTTTTTTTAAAAAAAAGTGACTGCTGCTATTTTGCCCACAAATGTTTTGTTTTATTATTAGCTGTGTGTCATTTTTAACAATCCATTTCTGGACTCAACTCAAAGTTGGTTTTGATCTTGGAACTCCTTTATCTGTGGAGTTCTTGGAGGCTGGTGGTTTCCTTGCAGACGTTTCATTACCCAACTAGGTAACATCATCAGTGCAAGTGAGTGTGGAGTTCGCTCCCTGTTTATATACCGTAGCTTGCCCTGCCAGTGTTGGTGGGGGTGTGGTTTCCTCGTTGGTATTTCCTTGATTAGGGTATTGTTTTCTGCTTGATGGTTTGTCTGGTGTCTCACAACACATGGACAGACTCAGCCATAGTTTCAACTGGGAAACTCTGAGCATCCTAGACTAAGCTAAATCTCAAAATGTGAGGGAATTCCTGGAAGCTTGGCATTCAGACAAATCAGCCATCAGTAGACGCACAGAGATAAACCACAGGTACACACCATTCAAAAGAGACAATAAAAAACATAGGGAAGAAACAAGAAGACTAGAACACATCTCCTCCAGTTGCCCACACTCAGATAAGTGGAAGACCTGGTTCTGCCACTTGGCCTGGGGTGGGGAGGGAATACCTCAAGCATGGGGATGG